TCCTGCTGGACAACAAGTTGAATATAAGTGAGCAGTGTGTCCCTGTGGTGGTGAAGATTAACCATGTTAAGGAAAATACAGACTGCAGATCAAAGGAACCAATTGTTGCCATCTGTGTGACATTTAGAAGGCGGCATCCAGAGCCCTGTGTCTGGTTTTGGTCTCCCCAAAGGAAGAGACAGTCTGAAGAACTGGATTTTGTCCAGCAGAGTGTCACTAACAGTAGCAGTGCACTGCCGCACTAGACATGCAAAAAGATGTTGGGAGATCAGGTTTTAGTTCATCACAAGGAGGTCTAAGGGGGTGTACTTAGCTATATAACCACAGGAAGACAGAACCAGCCTCTTCTCAGACAAGCACAGAAAAAGACAACAGGCAATGGACACAAGTTGCAGCAAGTGAAGTTTCAAATAGATGTAAGGAAGAAATGTTTCGCTATGTGAAACTCTGGATCAGGAGCCCAGAAAGCCTATGGCATTTCCACTCTTCACACCTGACTAGAAAAAGCCCTGAACAACATGGTCTAGCTTTAAATTTAAGCCTACCTAAGCAGTGGGTTGGGCTAGATTCTCCTGGTTATGTGAATGTGGCTGTATGAGCATAGATGATAAAGAAGGAGCAGAACTCAGGTTACTGTTGCTGCCACTCCTTATTTATTCTTTCCTCTTATACAATACACATACTGGTTTAGCTTATGCTGTAGTTTTACTCTCTGGGGACCCTACTTTGGATCTTTTCTTTGCTGAACTACTTGTTTTTGCAAAATTAACTGTAATTGTTTCTGAGATCTCAACTTTTCTGTCAAGTTGGGTTGAACCTGGGTAATAGATTCAGAATTACCAGGGAGAGCACAGTGCTTTCAGTACTAGTGCAATTGCTTAAGGCTCATTTTCTTAAAGATGTCAAGCAGGAAAATAAATTGAGGAGGCTAAGCAAGTGTACCCAGATGACTGAATTCTAGTCTAGGTGTTTTGCCAAATATTTTCGTTAAATATTTGCATTTCATGTTCCATTTTATTTTACTCAAGAATCATGTCATAAAAATCCACTGTAACTTCTCTTGCTAAAAGTCTTGGGATCAGGAGCTAATGGCTAGCTGAACGGCTGCCTGATCTCTTGAAATCCATTTGCTGGGTAGTCTTTTCTAGCATTTTATCCAGGAACAGCAAGAATCTAAATATTCAGTGAAGTAAATGTACAGTGCTTCAAGTTCTAAGTTTATCAGTCATCCAGAGACAAATTTTTTTTCCCCTTCTGTGGAATATTTCTTTCTTCCTTTACCTTATTTCTGGAAGGAACATTCAAGTAAAGCTATATCACATTGTAACCATTCTTTTCCAGTAAAACTGGTTTTAGATAAGAAAAACTTAGTACCATTGAGCTTACCCTTCAGATGGGAATTCTTTTCACCCCTCTACTGAAGTAGCATGACCTTTGGGGAAAAAGCTAGACTTGTTTGTGTAGCTAACAAGGGTTAAAAATATCGCAAATAGTTTAAATTTTCCCTAACTCTTCACTGTTACCACTTAAAGTACATGGTAGTTTTGCTTTCTATTCCCATAATCTTATGCACTTCCTTGGGGGGAGAAGGAGCTGTCTGTTCATCAGGATCCTTCTATGTAGGATAATTTCTAGGAGATTTGTTGAACTGTGTTTAGGAGGTTTTTAAGACCTTGAATTAAGTGATCAGCCCTTGTGCTTGTCTGCTTACTTACTTGCAGCATGGCTAAGTAGATCTTCTCTTCTTCATTCTGAGATTCAAGGCTCAGACTCTAATTCTTTGTATGATAATTTGTTGGGAGTGGAAGGAGCGTGTTATTTATTCCTTTTTTTAAACTTTCACCAGAGAATTCAGTACATATCTGGTGGTTTTCACTGTCTTTCATCAAATAATCTCTGTTCAAGATATCTTTTAGTGTCTAAATAGCATAGAGAGTTCTTTTGTGACTACTGCTGCTAAAATTAGGTCAAAACTGATTTTGACTTCCCCCCCCCAAAAAAAAAAAAGTGAGAAATCAGTATCATAAACTGGAACCAGTGCTGAAAGAATATGAAAGGAAGGGAAGCTGTGACAGAAATACACTT